GTTGTCCCAATAAGCACACACCTACCTGTCCAATCAAGTGTCCCTACTTTTTTTTAATGCAGTCCCTATACTTATGTGTTTGGTTCGCATCTGCCAGTATTCTCACTAATGGGCAAAAGGCTACAAGCAGCAGACAGCAATTTTGGAAGTCAACCCCATGTCTGCTCCCCTATCAGGCAAGCAAAAGACTACATCCTTATCCTCCCCCAAAGCCACCAGTGGCCAACCTCTGCCTCCTCAGCTGGCCTTTCCCTTAATTCCTGTTCTCCATCTGAAGGTACCTCTGATTCAAAACTCATTTGCAGAGTACAGATAATTAACACCTCCCGAACCCAGTGAATGCTCCAGCCAGCCCTGCCTCAGGTCAGCCACTCCCCACTTCCCTAGGTACTCTCTGGGCCCCCTCCTCAGGAAGTGATCTTGCGGAATCCTAGTCATTACCGTTTACAACATTAAAATACCTTAACCACATAGTAACAATAACACACATACAATAAGGTGAGGGTTGATCACTCACACATGCTCTTACAGGAAAACAAGCAGCTTTCTTTCTGGTAAGAAAAATACAAGTCTCCACCCCACCACACACACACACACACACATATAAAATCCCAGGATGCCCCAGCATGCAGTTTCTTTTCTTCATGACGTATTGTAAAGCACATCAGCTGTTCCTTGTTGCTGTGCAGATCACCCAACATCGGGTCACTGAGAGAGACGGCGGCGCTTGCTCGCACAGCTGATAGGATTAGATGATGCTTTGTGAGCCCTGATCGAGTCCGAGAAAGCCCCCAGCATATGCAGGTGAGATGTGAGGAAGAGTGGCTGTGGGGGACCCTGACGTGTCTCAGTTATATGGTGCAGATCTTTTCTCCTTGGCAGTGCATTTGTATCGTCTTTTCTGTGAAGTTTACAGTCTAGGGGGTTCCTATGAATAAAAATCTGCGCTTTATATCACTTGTCTGATGTCAGGGATTGGCCACGTATACCTCCTCAGAGGATTTTTGTGAGGCTCAAATAAGAGTATTTCTATGAAAGAGCTCTGGAAATACAAAGTTTTGTGCAGTTGAAAGGTATGAATCATTTAATGACAAATTTCACACAAAGAATCAATATCCTTATCTTAGATTTCAGGCAGAATTATATAAACAGATTCCTTTTCTCCCAATCTACAATACTCTATCTCCCCTGTTCCTTCCCAGGCCCGGACAGGAACATTATTTATCATCTTTAAGGCTTCTATTCTTTTAAAGCAGTTGCTATTTTCTAAAAAACCAGCAATACATTCATTTTTAAAAGAAAAACCACAAAATTACAATATACGACAGTAGAATAGATATTTAAGTAGAAAATGAAAATGATGCATGAGAATATTTTAAAGCAGATGAAAGATGAATATGCTTGTATTAGATTGTATCTCTTTGATGGTCTAGTCCTAACATTATAAGACCTAATGATATGACAAACACTTGAATGAAATTAAAGGCAGCATAGATATTATCATTTGTAAAACTTGCCTTTTAGAACAGCAGAAAAACAGGCTTGGGTTCCAAAAGTACAGAGCTAAGAGGCGTCTTATAACACTAAATCATCAGCCTTTCCCTCGGCAAGGTTGCTATGGTGACAACAGGGCTACAGCTCAGCCTCTCAAAGCCTGCACTTCTGCAGGAAAAGCTTTCACGGCACACATGTTGGATTTTTTAGGCACACACCCCATCATCAAATACAAAGGCATATTGGATGCAGCTTTATCTGAGTCATTTTCAAAGTAGAAGTTGTGCCCATGTTCTTTATCTTGTACTGATGGGCCCCTCATGGAGTTATAGAATTAATTCATTCATGCATTAATTCATTCGACAATTACATAGTGTGTCCTACTGTGTGACAGGAAGAGCCCTGGTGGCGCAGTGGTTAAGAGCTCGGCTGCTAACCAAAAGGTTGGCGGTTCAAATCCACCAGCCGCTCCTTGGAAACCCTATGGGGCAGTTCTACTCTGTCCTATAGCGTCAGTCCTATAGGTCAGAATCGACTAGACGGCAGTGGGTTTGGTTTGGTGGGTATGACAGTAACTGTATACAATCCCCGATAAAGACAGACAAGTAAATGGGAAGTTCTAATACGAGATCATAAGGGCTCTTCTGGGGTAAATAAATACAGGTATCCTGGAAGTATGTAAGAGGAGATGCTGACCCTTCTTGGGGGATCAGGGGAGGTTTCCTGGAAGAAGCTGTCTCTAAAATGAAACTTAATATATCTTTAGTTGTTGAGGAGTTTGGGTGGATGGGGTACAGGAAATGTCTAGCATGTGCAACAGCCTAGAGGAAAAAGATAACATGAAATCTACAGAGAAATGAAAGTTCTATCATTTGAGGGGTGTGAATTTTTATGGAGAAGGAGATTGGCAGTGTGTGGGACACACAGAGGGGAGGGAGTAGCTTAGAAGAGGAGTGGAAAGAAATGAGATTGGAGAGGTAAACAAGGCCAGGTCATGAAAGGCCTTTGTCCCACATTGAGGAGTTTGAATGTTCCCTGGAGGACAGCCAGGAAATCAATGGATTTTAATGGGGAAGCATGGCTTGATTTGGCCTTTTGGAAGATCATTTTGGCTTCTGTGGAAAAAATGGATTGGAGAGAAAGGAATAGGGGCAAGGCTGGAAACAAGATAACTCTAGTTAGACAACTATGCAGTAATCCAGGATGGTTGTGGTCTAGACTCTATATAAGGATAATGGCAGTGGAGAGAAGTAATCAGATTGAAGACTTTATTAATGGGGCAGCGGGATCACTTGGTGGTTTATACTATGTGGGGAGGGAGGTAAGAAAGGGAGAAGTTAAGAATGACTCTGAGATTTTGACTTGGACAACTCACTGGAGGGTAGTTCTGTGATTAGGCATCCAGACTCAATTCTCAATTCGCAGTAGTAGAGAACTCCTCAACAGCATCTTTTGACCTTAAGTTCATTTCTGTTTTACAGTATATGTCCCAGGATCATGATTTTGGAAATAATAGGTTATATGAAATATCCTAGATCAACACTTTCCTAAGGCCCATATCTGAGAAGGCTTAGATACAAGAAAGTATGAATTAATTTGCTTCCACAAAGAAAGAACCCTAATATTTCCTCAATCGCACGCTTAAGAGATCTAAGGAATTGAAAAGATATGATTTATGGAATAAAATCTCTTTGGGATATAGGAAGAAGGTAAATTGATTCCACTAATACTCTGACTTCAGGCTGCCTCGGGTCTCATCCTGGAGGGCTTGAGAGGTGAGGACTGAGAGGAATGCTGTTTGGAGGGGGGACAAGTGTTGAAGGTAGAGGTTCAAATACAATTTTCAAGGATCGCAGTCCTTCCATGTAAGACACAGGGTGTAAGTGTCAGACTGTTGTCTGACATTGTCCACATTGCTACTTAGAATATTCTCTAATTCTGGACTAAACGGGCAGCTTTTGTCTGGAGGTAAGATGGGAAGGCAGAGAGGGTTAGGAGCTGGTTGAATGGACATGGGGAATCAGGAGTGGAAAGGAGGAGTGTGCTGTCACAGTATAGGGAGAGCAACTAGGGTCACATAACAATGTATGTATAAATTTTTGTATGGGAGAGTAACTTGAAATGTAAACTTCATTTAAACTACAACAATAAACAAAAATAAAAAAATAAAATGCATTTAAAAATAAAAAAAGAATATTCTCTAATTCTGAATAAAGGCCATTTAAGATATTATACATGTTGAATTCTATCATCAGATAAGATTTAAATATTGCAAGTATAATAAATCAAGGTCCATAGCCCAGTTGATGACCCCTAATCTAAGTCCCCACTTGGACAGGTTTTTGAGCTTTTTACAACAAACCTGTCTGCATCACAAGTGCTTTTTTTCTGCCTGTTGTATAAGAGGCATCAGCAAATGCTGAATGGACGACCTGGGTTAACTGTCCTTTGGAAAGTACTGTTCAATCAGCTGGGTATAGCTGTTTTGTTGTCTAATCCTTACAGCTACCCTTTGAGGTAGGTATTTTTATTATTACTCTTCAATCTAACGAGGATAAATTCAAAGTTCAGAGAGGCCAAGAACTTTAGACATAAAGGCACTCAGCTTGAAGGAAGTGGAATGCTGACTTGAACCCGGTTTTCTGAGTTCAAGTGCAGAGTTCTTCCTGTAGCTGTGTGCCTGGGACGCATTCCTGGCGCCCGGCTGCGGCTGCGGGCAAACGGCTCTTCCTCCGAACAGCCTGGCTTCCCCAAGCCCAGAGGAACGGGCCTCCCTGTGCTTTTCCTGCGGAGCTGCCAACCGAAGGCCCTTCTGATGCAAATCCGCAAAGAATCGCAGCCTTGGAGATCCCGAGACCGAGATGCTGTGTCAGTCCTGCAGCATTGGCTTGGCCAGGGTCCGGGTGAAGGGGGACCCGCCCCGTCTCTCTCGGGCAAGGTAATTGCGGGGAGCTGTACGTTGGCTTAAAACCGATTGGGCAAGGAGGGGCCGCAAGGGAGAAACTTTCCCTCTTTCTCCATTTTGGCTCTCAGTGATGTCGCAGCTTTTCTCAGCTCCTCCTTCCGACGCGCACCCGGTACAAACTGGGTACCAGGTGCAAAAGCAGAGGGGAGGGGACACCTCGGGGCTGGCGATGCTAAATGCCCCCGCTTGCCGCCTTCGGACCCGAGCTCAGCAGTGAGGGAGAAGCGCGCGGCGCGGTGGGGAGGTACCGGCTGCGAAACCCCGTTGCGGGGGCGCGCTGAGGCGCCCACGAGCTGCCCTGGGGCTTGCAGGTGAGGGAGGCCGGGGGAGGCGCACCGGGCGCGGCAACGGCGGCGGTGGCACCACGTGTCCGGCCGGGGCGGGGCAGCGGGCGCGCCCTCGGAGCCGAGAGCGAACGGCCGAGGCGCGTCGCAAGTGCAGCAGCGGCCGCCCGCAGCCCACGCGGCTCAGCGCGGTCTTCTCGCCCCGGTGCACGCAGGTGCCTCCTCCTGGACGGCGGCAGCGTCGGCACGAGGACTCGGCGGGCAGTGGCGCAATGGGGCCCCTCCGAGAGACCAAGGTAAGTAGGGCACATCGTGCGGGCGCGGGTGGCAGTGCCAGCGGGCGGTGGGGAGAGAAGGGCGGGCACTGCCGGCAAGAACCGGGCCAGGTGAGAGCTGGAGGGTAGTGCGTTGAGTGGGGCAAAGGGGGGCAGAGAGGTGGCGGGGGCCGTAGGAAGGTAGAGAGGCGTTTGTTCAGGTGATGAGACCAGGGGGATGGGGAGGTGGTACCGGAGAACAGGATTTTGGAGATTGACACAAGGATTAAAAAGACTGAGTTTGGAGGGTTAATCCCGTTTCCTGACACTGAGAATTTGGAATCTAATTCCCAGTTGATGTCCGTGTGTGATGTGAATAAAACGAATTTGATGTATCTTAACTGAGAAATAAGGATTCCAGCGTGTCAGTGACCAGCATTGGTTCAGGGTCTGCAGTTTGCCAAGCGGAGTGGCTGACGTGATACCTGCTGGGTGGCTGATGTGCGGCAGAAATCCAGTCGATGGGTGCGGCTCGCCGCCCCTGGATAGGGTGTATGCTTGGGCGACCTCAGGAGTTCCCGCAGCTGGGGCTTTTCCTTCAATTCCTACACTGTGTGGGCCTCCCAGAGGTGTTTACTTTGGCAGCGACCCTTCCTGGTAAGCCGCGTGGAAATGAGCAGGAGATCATGTTTCGAAATGGTGTTTGTTACCTAATCGGAAGCCTTTTTTCAATTGCAGAGGTTGGAGGGAGCAGTGAATCTTTTTTTGCAAGCATTTCCGAGGAATCCATTTTAATGAGACAGGGTGGTGGTGACCCTGAAAAGCACTGCTTCTAGATAATGTGCAGCCTCTTCTGAGCATCTTCACCTCTTTTAGTCTCGGTTTCCTCATCTGTAAATAGGGAAACGAATGGGTACTCTCTCCCTGTTACAATCCGGGTGTAAAGATCAAGTGAGATAATGATTGGGAAAGAGGTTTATGAATTAAAAACATTGCCAAAATGTTACTTTTTAATGCATATGTTCTGTTTTTTGACCAAGGCATGGCCCTGTGTATTTAATGCTATGTTTTTAAGGAGAAAAATTTCTTCTCATGGGTGTCCTGTAAGGAAAACAAAAGCTAAACATGATGTACAAAGGTGGAGCCATTTTACCGGCTATTGGATTTTTGTTTGCTTTTCTGTTGGCAACAAGCCTTGTGTACTAGGATATTAATGAATAATTAAGATCCTGGCTGGAAGGGGAGGGATTTGAAAGATAAGGCTGCGTAATATATCTGGAAAGAATTGTTACAGGTATAGGGCTTTACTTTGTTAGGAGACAGGAAAGGAGAAAGCAAATTGTCACAACTATTTCAGGAAAAGCAAAATGGAAGTATAGAAGAAATCAGGTAATAAGTGGGAATGTGCTGTGAGTAATGAATAGTAGTGTTTGAGAGAGCCAAAAGCTTGAGTGTGACAGAAAAAGCCAGAGTTGGGAAGGTGAGTCAGGAATTGTATGGGAGAGTAAGGTGGTCTTCCTGCTAGTCCTTGGAAGTGGAATTATTCTCTGTGTGTGTGAGAGAGAGAGAGAGAGAAAGGGAGAGAGAGACTGATACATTAGAAAGGTTAGCTCAGTTGAAGAGTTTTGGAGCTCATTTCAACCCCTGAGATGAGAAGGACTTCTTTGACTCATTGTGAAGATCTGATATTCAGAAATAAAATTTCTGGGAAACTGAGCCCTGTAGGAGCAGGCAGAAATTCAGAGGGGGAAACAGTCTTCCTTTTGTTTCCTTTTTTATGTCCAATTTTGAGAAGGAGCAGAGAGTGCAGCATCATGAGAAGGAGATTTCCCGAAGCCGAATTCCTCGTTTGATTCTTCGGCCCCATCTGCCCCAGCAACAGCACAAAGTGTCCCCGGCCTCTGAGTCTCCCTTCTCTGAGGAAGAGAGCCGGGAGTTCAACCCCAGCAGTTCTGGGCGCTCAGCAAGGACCATTAGCAGCAACAGCTTCTGCTCAGGTACAGTATCCATAGGAAGCCAAGCTCAGGCATGAAGCGTGTATGATGCAGGTACCTTGTGAATGGACCTGGACTGCTATTAGGATGACTCATATGAATTTGCACTTTTTTGGTCATTTTGACCTGAAAAAAAAAAGAGCCGTTTTATGTGGTGCAACCTAATGGACTTTTATACCTGTTTTTATTTGTATTCCAATTTAGAATTTGAAATCTAACTTTCCATGACTGTTTTTAAAAGAAATGTGCTTCTACATTAAACCTGGAAAATGTATTAGATTGCATTTTTTACTAACAACTTCTCTAAACCTGTGCACTTCTAGTTATCAAATCCCCAAAGATAAAGCAACTCCTTTTTAATGAGATCCAGATCAAAGAGGTATGTAACCCAAGGCCTAAGGCTGGCCTAGCCTTATAGTTTAGAGGGGAGGACCACAGGCTTTGAAATCTGCCAGGCCTGAGTTAGAATCCTTGGTCCTTTCACCGCTTCAAGCTGTGTGACCTTGGACTAGTTGCTTAACCTCCATAAGCCTCAGTCATTACATCCATAAAATGAGATGATAATGCCTACCTTTAGTGTTGCTGTGAGGTTAAATGAGAGCACCGTGCCTAGCTTATAGAGGTGCTTAACAAATGATGATTCCTAATATGATGAACAATGAATGTTATTTTTGGCACCTGATCAAGGACGTTTCCTTAAGATTGTGAGCATGTTTGGTAAGGGCACACCTCTCTTCATAGCTCCTGAAGGTACCACTATTATCACTTTATACAACCTGTTATACCCATTGAAGCACATGACTTAGAAGGACTTGTATTCTTTGAAGAAGTATTAGGAATTTGGATAAAATTTTAAGGAATGACTTATGATTAGTGAAGAATGTTTCAGAGTGGATAATTTTTTAGAACTTATTTAGGGAAAATATAATTTGAAACATTTTTGAGAAGGGACATGTGAATCAGGATGTTATATTAATGCCCTAATTTAACAGATGCAACATTCTATTACATTTAGTGCTGCTAACTGCATTTTTCATGGATTTTATAAGTGTAGCCTTGGATTCGTTACATTCACAAAATAATTCATTCCATGCATAAATTATATATTAGAAATACTGTGCTGCCTTTTTTTTTTTTTTTCTCTATAAAGCATCCAATTCTCTGTTTGATTCTGGAAAAAAAATCAAAAAATATTTTAAGACTTACTTCTTGCCATTTGAATTATGTAAATCTAGTTTAAAATGGAAACCCACTGATGGTTTGCTTGATACTTTGCCAGGAAGAGGAAAAAGAAAAAATGACAAGTTGGAACAGTTAAGATTCCTAGAACTTAGAGCTGTATTTGCAGAATGTAATGCTGTTTACTTTAACTCCATTTTGGAGCTCAGGGCTCACTCCCGTTGAGTGCAGATGAACCCTGGGGACATCATTTCAAACTGACACAGCTTTGTTTACCTAACTCAGTTCCACATTTATTCCTTATATTCCTTTCACATAAATTGATTTCTCTATGACTGACTTCAGGGTGAGTAGTGTTATCACAAAAAAGGAAAATTTGGTCCAAACAAAACAAGAGAAAGATGTCAAATGTATTTAGAAAATGTAAAGACAAACCAATAAAATATTAATTTTGTTCGTGAATCATTCTCTCCAAGACCCATTTCCAGCATCATCCCTCCTTCCCAGGAGGCCTGTCTCCCACTAAGGCCATAATGCTGTACATGAAAATCGAAAGTAGATATTGATTCTTCTGCCATTAACTAGCTGAGAATTGAGTGGCAGAAGCTTATAATTATGGGTCTCTATAAACCTACGTTTCAATTTGTAGCTTTGCATCCTCTCTTCAGATAGGATTCCCTCCATCCCTGGGCGTCATTTTCTCTCTCAGCTTCCTGTGTTGGCGATTTGCCAAGGTTTGGGTCCCGTTCCCTTATCTTCCTTGCTTTCCTTTCCTACAGAGCTCTGGTAAACGCCAGGGAGGCTTTGAGGGCTGCGCTGACTCAAATTGACAGGAGCAAGGCCTTTGGGGCATGTTAATGATGCTTTAGGAGGTCAGTCGGTAGATGGGAAATAGATGGGCTTGATACTATGGGGAGCATTAATGAAGTAAAGGATGTAAAACATCTCCAGCCAGCAGGGGGAAATAGCTGGTTTTAATCCAACCACTTTAACACTCAGGCCAGAACGTGTTCATTGCTTAATCATGGCAGTTCTGTCAGAGAACTAGGAACATACTAGCATTAAAAATACCATCCTCCCATGCTTTCAGGGGACAGATAGGTCAGTTGGCATAACAAAGCTTATTAAGAAAATGTTCTGCATCCTACTTTGGTGAGTGGCATCTGGGGTCTTTAAAGCTGCAAGCGGCCATCTAAGATGCATCAATTGGTCCCAACCACCTGGAGTAAAGGAGAATGAAGCACACCAAAGACACAAGGAAAGTATTAGCCCAAGAGACAAAAGGGCCACATAAACCAGAGACTTCATCAGCCTAAGACCAGAAGAACTAGATGGTACCCAGCTACCACCAGTGACTGCCCTGCCAGGGAACACAACAGAGAGTCCCTGATGGAGCAGGAGAAAGGTAGGGTGCAGAACTCAAATTCTAGTAAGAAGACCAGACTTAATGGTCTGAGTGAGACTGGAAGAACCCCAGAAAGCATGGCCCCTGGATTTTCTATCAGCCTAGAACTCAAACAATTTCTGAGGCCAACTCTTCAGACAGGGATTGGACTGGACTGTGGGACATAAAGTGATACTTGTGAGGAGTGTGCCTCTTAGCTCAAGAGACTAAACGTCCAGCTTCTGTCCAGAGGTGAGATGGGAAGGCAGAGAGGGTTAGGAGCTGGTTGAATGGACATGGGGAATCAGGAGTGGAAAGGAGGAGTGTGCTGTCACAGTATGGGGAGAGCATTTAGGGTCACATAACAATGTATGTATAAATTTTTGTATGGGAAAAAATAAAAAAAAACCATCCAAATGAGAACAACCACAAAAAAAAAGTGCCATCCTCTGCTAGAACAAAACTAATTTAGAGGTGTCTGTTGCCATTGTAACTTCATAATCCAACAGTGATCATTCTGTATTAACTTATCTTCATTGTAAATCATCGTATTCACTAATATGAAAGGGGACATGCATAGGTAGGATTCTTACCACCTGGTAGTGAAATTGTGGAAGAAGATGTTACTCAAACACAATTCTGTGTGTGTGTGTGTGTGTGTGTGTGTGTGTGTGTGTGTGTGTGTGTGTTGTATAGGAGCCCTGGTGGCACAGTGATTAAAGTGCTCATCTGCAAACCAAAAAGTTGGCAGTTCAAACCCACCAGCAGAGGGAGAAAGATGTGGCAGTCTGCTTCAGTAGATTTATAGCCTTGCAGTTCGACTCTGTCCTATAGGGTTGCTGTGAGTCGGAATCGACTCAACGGCAGCGGTTTGGTTTTGGTTATGTTATGTGTATATATACATACATACATACTTATATAAAATCTTAATTTGAAAATTACCTTTGCAGAACTACAGATGTCTTTCCTCAAATCTGTATCAAAGGCAGTAATTGTGAAGAGCATCATGTCCTAAGGTATTCATTTTTTAAAAGAAGGGTAATGTAGTGAGCTTACATAAAGTTAAATTTACTGGATTTAAAGGATTATCCTTTATTTTAAAAGATTGTCTTTCCTATCATTTGTATTATTTTAAAAAAAATCATTATAATGAATGGTAGTTGTAATCTGGCAAAATAAATGGCAATTCTGCGTGGACATTTCCTTCACCCTTACCCCATGTTTTTTCTTTAATTTTGCAGATCTGTTATATTTAAAAGTCTGGGAATAATTTTCTTAGTGACCTGTCTATTTTTACCTACTCTCCCCTTACCCTCCCCCTTTCTCCCCATGGGAGCTTTGACAAGGAACACTTAATGACTTGATATTCTGTATGCTAATTTGTATGTTACGTCTGTCTCATTTCAGAGGAAAGGAGTTGTATGTGACCTTTTGCAATTCATTTGGGGTGTGTCCCCAAAGAGCTCTTTTAATAGCTGCTTAGAAGCAGAATTTCTTTGAAGATATGCATGTGTTTAATTCATTTCATCAGCACATGTGTGTCTTGGGCATCATTCTGGTGTTACAACAGTCTATCCCTTACAGTCTGTATTCAGTCTGAGTCACTGTGGCCTTAGTTGGAGATAATTAAGTTTATATTTTATTGGAGGCCGGGTTCTATTTTATGTGCACAACCAGTAAAACATTGTGTATTTGTAGTAAATGTTAATTAATGCTTTATTTAAAAAAATGCTTAAGGAATACATAGGGAAGTACAATTAATAGTAAGTCATTTAATAAAAACAAAACACCTACTTCTGTCCCGTTTTTTTTTTTTTTATCGACTTTTTTTGGGAGTTTGGTTTGTAACCACCAATGTTTTGGCATAAAATCACTGTTTTGGCATAAAATCACTGTGTTTTCCCCGTGTTTCTTGTTCTTAACATTCCCATGAGAAGGAATAAAGCCCATACAGTATTAGGGTTTGTGTCCTGGGTGTGGCCTATTGAGTCTAGGCCTATTTTCATCCCTCGCCCCACCTTTTCTTGTTGGTAGTGAATTGTGTTTGTCGTCATACTATGACTCCAACCACTGTTAGAAAAGCTGATGACCTGGGTGATGTGTCAGGTATATGTATCAGTCACTTGATGTGGTTAAAGCATGCTGTGCATTCCTCTTTGCTTAGCTGAGCCAATAATTACCCCTTAGAACTGGGAGGCAGATGGATTGCTGGGTTTTAAGCTAGTTCTCCATGGGGTGCCTTGTAAACATGGCAGGTGGAACAAATTATGCATATGGAACACTGATTGTTTTATGGGAGACCAGTAATTTCTCTTAAGTTATTGCCATGTTTCTAATATGCACACACAGGTAGATACATGGGCAGGTTATATGACTTGCCCCAGTAAGAAACATGTACCAGATCTATAAACAGAATGATCAGGATCTGGGATTCTTTGTA